GGGGTGGCTGAACACGGACGCTTCTCCGGATATTACATTTCCAAGGATAAGAACTGGACACGTGTTTTGGCTCGAAGGTGGCGGAGGTGTGTAAGCGTGTGTTCTTTGTTATTAACTCGGAAAATACCTCATTTCCATTGCGCAAACGATCGAGCGAACACATTGCTTGTGCATCACTCGATCGATATATATTTCGTGCCATGCGATTATTCTTTTCTTATTTCTTTCTTGCCGGAAATCTATTATTACGGATATCTTTTATATATGTACCTTGTCTCTCGTGATAAATATGATATTGTAATCTCTCTGGAACGTTGCCTCGGTTACAGTCACATAAAACCATCCGATTCCTTTTTCGCGAACGAAATTCCCGAAATTCGCTGCTGCCTCGGCTAATCCTCTCGTTTAAACTCTATAGAAAATAGGAATATCTGAACGTGATCTCGATGATACAGGATACTAGCGAGCCGCGCTTCGAACGTCACGCGTTTCAACTTTCTTCAACGATGTACAAATAGTTTAATAGAAATAACCGGGCATAACCCGATTTCCTCCAATATCCCACCCCTCGTAAAAATAACGCGACGATAATTCTACCAAATCCAATCGACCCCGAATAATTTCCGTGAATATGGATACACCGATCCATTCCAATTCGAAAATAACCCGACCGAGGACCCGGATTCGTTTCGATATCGAACAAGGCTATCCTGTATCGACGAGAGGCGTGAGGGAACGACCCCCGACTTCATCTGGTCGCGGATCGTTTCTCATGGGTGGTGTTCGACGACGACGACGACAATGACGACGACGACGACGACNGGGGATGGCGGAGCACGAGGAGGATTGTACTCATGGCAACGAGGAGGACGAAGAGGGCGACTGATGCTGTTGCTGATTAGGATTGTTCAGGTTTGGCCGTTGGTGTATCCCGTGCGCCTGAAGCTGATGATTGATCAGGTAATGCTTGGTCTTGCACCGTTTCCCGCACACGTTGCACTGCGGCCACGTCTCCGGGGGCGGCCAATTCGAGTGGACATTTTTCACGTGTTGTCGAAGGTTGCTCGGTGACGAGTAGCTTCTGCCGCAGTAACGGCAGAGAGGCCTAGCATCGTCGTGGCGCAGTGCCGTGTAGAGTCTCGCGAAATTCTCCACGGCTGCCGTAGTTTCGTTGGCGGCCGCAGCCACCGCCGCCAACGCGGCTTCCTCCCTCTTCGGCATCACCGATCCTACAACCAGGACGTGCCCGTCAGTTGATTCTGTCTGTCTTTCTCTCTCTTTCGTTTCTTTCTTTTTCTCTTTTCATATCCTCTCTCT